GTGTTGTACATGTATTGTACATGAATTGTTGCCAGCTAGTAAATGTCAAATCGAACTTGAGCTTTAAAATTAGCTTATGCTAGTTTTTCTATGGCATAAGCGCTTTTCAAGTTGCGGACCTAAATATTTACATAAGCACTTTAGAAACTGCGGAGCTAAGTTTTGGATTAGCGCTGCCCACCACTGATTTATAGTAATTAAAGTAGAAAACTAGGAGTCTGGACTTAAGAGATCAATGAAACTATTGGTGGGAGGGATTTTGGTCAGTGGCCCACGGGCCAATAGTTGAATAGCCCTGACTTTGGGTAGGAAGACTGYAGCGTGAGCTTGACAGACTTGCAGGTCCAGGGAACCTGAATGTGAAGTGAAGACCACCAGTCTGCAGCCCACTCACCTACAGAGGCACGGATGGTGGTGATGTCATAACTRTCCAGGTGGAAAATCACTTCTTTTAAAGCCTGGATGCCTTCCTCTGCTGTAAAGTTCACCTCATGGTGTTCACTGCCGATGTGAGCTGCCACCTGAACAGAACCACAGAGAACACATCTTTGTTCTGGAGTAAATAACAAAAACCTGAAACATGTTGGTTTGGCTTCTGGCCTGGTTTCATTCAGGTTCAATAAATGAAGGTTTAATAACTGACCTTACGAGCTGCCAGGATGTCCGGACTGTCCTCTGATCCGATGGAAAAGGTCTGGATGGGATARGGCAGCTTCGCCTCTTTAGCTAGTTTCACCAACGTGGCAGCAACTAAACTTGAGTCCAGACCCCCTAAACATGAGGAAACAAGAACCACCACTGAAAACCAACAAGTCTGACCACTCCACCTGCTGCATCACTGACAGGAACCACTTCAAGAAAACCTGAACCACCAATAAGACAAACATCTTATTAGCTGTGTTACAAACTAAACCTCCATTTAAACTCTAGTCTTGTGTGAATGATTGGTAAACACATCAGGACTGGCTCAAACTGTTAAATGAAGGAACGTCAGAGCTTACCCGACAGAAGACAGCCGATCCTCCTGTGAGCCATCAGGCGTTTCCTCACAGCATTTTCAAACAGTTTTCTGATGTTGCTTTTCACCGTTTCCACATCAAAACCTGTGCAGACATTTTATTTCACAAGCCAAACAAAACGCTGATGTCAGCAGAAAGTAACAGGGTTCATGCAGGTTTCAGTAAGTTAAATTTAAGACCTTTTAAAGACCTTTAAAACCATTACGAATGACATTTAAGACCAAAGTGATGCATTACCAGAAACATTCAAATGGTCCCAGAAATTTTAAAATAAAAACCTTTTATTGCTATCAATTTAGCTATTAAAGAATATTAAATTTTAATGCAAGAAAATGAAATTATTTTAATGAAACGGTCATATCTATGAGACCTTCATATCAACTGCTGTGGAC